AGTGATATAAAAAGCAATAAACAAAAAGCAGCCATGTTTATTTGCTCTGTACTAGAGGGAGCAAAATAAAGTGTTAGATGGAGAGCAAGGAAGCTGGTAAACTTGAAGTTGTTTTGGAAAGCAAACAATGTAAAGAAGTAACACTCATTTAAAAGGCAGGAAAAAATGCACAACCAAGGAGAATTGTTGTAAACATTTTGAAAGGACTGACTCTTATTGCACCCTAAATATCAAAGATCACTTAAGTTTATGTTTGTAACACAATTGGTGAAACTAACTGGGGGGAAAAAACTGAACATGACGATTACGATTAAGCTGCTGAAGTGAAACCTGTGGATGCACTTCTTTGTTTTCTTACTGAATCCGACTTTATTAATGGAGACTCTTAACTATGTTTAGAATTTGCATAAATAGTTATTGCTGTTATGGCTGTTTATATAGTAAAGGGCTACATTTAAGGTCTCTTCTGCAATCTGGTGATTGTGTGTTTCAGAAAATATTCTAAAATGAGACTGCTAATATATGAGAATTGCATTTTTCTTTTCAGAAAACACTAGATAAAAACTACCACTTGTTCTGAACAATGCCTATTTAAGTTCTCTTTGACATTATACTAGAGGGAACAGATGGATTTTTATATAACCATCTCTTCTCCTCTTCAGACACACGAAAGAAAGTAGACTCTTCGGTAAGTGGCCATGATCCTCGGACAGCTGTTCAGCTTAGAAGTCTCAGCACAGTCTTAAAACGTCTCAAAGAAATCATGGAAGGGAAAAGCCAGGTACTGCATCAAGGGTTTTAAGTGAGTTGGGTCAATCAAAGCACATAGAAATTAAAATGTTAAAGGGTTCTGTGTTCCACATTTTGCCAGTGGAAAAAAGCAAAAACCTTATGAAGTTCTGCTGCTGCTGTTGCGTTTTTTTTTGTTTAACTAGCATTCAGTAGAACCATATGAGTAAACTCGCTATATTGGAATGTGGAATGGGAAGAAATTCAAACTGGTGAAGTCAAAAGAAATCTGAAGTTCAACAAGGGCATCTTGCTCATCTGATGAAGTGGATTTTACTTACAGAAGCTCCCGATCCTATTAGTTACTCTCTAAAAAGCCATAGGACTACTCTTTGCTTTTAAAGCTACAAACTAACAGAGTTATCCCTCTGAGGCTTTAAATACAGTCACATCAAACTGAGTTTAACAAGCTGGGAATATTTGCCTGAAACAATCCACCCTACTGCTGGGAAAAAGATAAATGTAATCTGTTTAGTTCCACTTCCCTTCCAACCCCAGTGGGGTTGATTGTCTGTCTGGAGATCTGTAGTGTGAATGGAGGAGACCTAACATGACTAGCCACGCCTGGGGACAAGGAGCAAACAGGCAGTTGTGCATCTTAATTAACAATAATACTGGGAATGGGTGAAATTAGGAAGGTTTTAGCATGTGAGCTGTTATAGCAGACTGGCTATAACTTTTTTTGCTGACAAAAGATGATGATAAACTAAAGTGCAGGCTGAAATCCTTCTCTTCAACTAAGGGATGAGGATGAGAAATTAGCTAAGGAATAGGGATAAATATTTGATGGGAATTTTCAAGGACTTTGCAGAGACAGTAATTTCAGCAGGTTGTGGTTGGCTAGCAGGTCTGCAGCAGAGTCTTGTCAAAGACTTTGCAGTGGCTCTGTCAGCATCTTGAATCGAGAGGTTGACTCTACCTTTTGTTTTCTTTATCCGGAAAGAAGGCATGCAGCTGG